TATCCCAAACAGGCTAAAATAATTTGCTGTTTTCCAGACAGTAAAATTTAAGCTCCTGTTGTTCCAACAATGTACCAAGAATTTACTGTTATCCCAAACAGTCTAATTTAATTTCCTGTTATTCCAAACAGGCTAAAATAATTTACTGTTATCTCAAACACTAAGTTCCTGTTATCCCAAACAGACTTAAATAATTTACTTTTTTTGTTATCCCGTTGTTTGTTATTATTTTTGTAAAAAATGCGATGCGACCGATTACGCACTAAAACAAAGATTGAAGCCGGTAATTGTAGCCGAAGTCAGAAAAAATTTGGTTTTTATACTTTAAATTTGGTAACTGATTACGCTCGAAACGGAAGTACTAGATAACGAGACTGAGGATTTTCTAAAATATTTTCGAAACTTCACATATTAACATAGCGTACGCTTTAACCTTTGTTTGTAGTGTTTTTTGGTTAGTAAGCTATAACATTATTTCTGTGCGCGCGGTTCAAATAAGGGTAAAAGAAAAACATTTCCGAAATAAGCAAAAAGTTCCTAACATCTCCCTCAGTTCCCTAGACATTTTTAACGGGCTATGAAGTATGAAATACCTCGTATATCATACCGTTCAAACACAGCGCTTGTCTAAAGTTCAAGGTTATTAATATCTTATGTTTACGTATATATGGTCGTCTTCTATAGTAAACAAAACGCTCGAAACGTTGCGGAGCGAAGGAAAAAAATCGCTGCGTATAAATATTAAAACTCTCGGTACAGGGTGCGGCGAAGGAGGCCCGGTTCGCGTTAATTACGTTACGTCGTACTTGATGTAATAATAATTTTCATTTACATGAAGACAATATACAATGACAGACGAGTTCGGTACGCCACCCACGTAGAAAAGTGCTCGGCCCCAATATTGAGTTAATGCGGTTATTATACAACGTTGCTATTAATTCATTGTGTCGATTGTCCTCAACTTTTAACTAGCTTTGAATGTTCGTGAACCGACCTCAATTCGAATGTTTTCGATTGCAAATACTTTCGCTTCAATTTTAACCAGTTCCATTTATCTGCGTTCTTTTCGCTCGCCATTCTACGCCCTGTAGGTTATGGTATTCAGTTCCTTATCTTTGGGTCCAGCAATGTGCCCTTGGAACCACTCGTGTAAGCGGCTCGTATAAAAACTAATTTTTTGAGCTGTTAACTAGTCATGCCATTTAAATTTGCAATTTGCAAAATTTATTTGCTCTCTTGGAAATAAATCATATCATTTTGTAAAGCTGAATAATAATCAGCTTCTGTAGTTTCTTGTCCTTTGCAATTCATGATGTAGATATTTCTGGGGATGATTTCTAACTTAAAAATAAATAAAATCTGGATAATGCGACTCTAAGAAACAAAAAAAACAACATTTAATCTTTTCTGGTCAGGTAATTTCTTTGAAGATCACCGGTACTATCTACTGCTGTTCTAGTTACTCCCATAGAATAGAAATTTTCAAGGAGTTCATCCTTTTACTCCTAGAGTAAACTATTTTTTATTATTCTTCAGCAGGATTCTTTTAGTCAAGTACTGCAGAAGTGAAGTCAAATAACCACTTCTTGGAAAAGTTTTCCCCACACAAAGGTATAATAGCTCAAAGAGCACTTGTCTTTATGTACCATAACAACATTGCTTTATTTCATTAATTTCATTTTAAATCATAAATTTATTAAATATGCAATAAGCAACGTGTGGTGTGGCGCGAACATTTTTGTAGACTCTGCAATCAGCAATGTTCTTGTGCTGCAAGTATTGCAGTCAGGGGCTCACTTGGAAAATTCATCACACATGGAAATAACATATAAATATGGACCTAAAAACAAGCAACTAATTAAAATCAATCGATACTCAAATCATTTTCCTATTTTAATTTAATTTGATGGGCCTCCGGAAGAAAAACTTCGACTGAAGTGATTATCTTGTGGTTCCGCTTCAGTTTTATTTGGAACGAATTGGGAATTCGTCTCTAATCGGAACCGAAACTCCGTGTTTACACACGAAGGCAATAATCCTGTCAACGATTATATGATTGGCGCAAAAACGAGATCCCGTCTAAGGTAAGGTCGGGTTTTCATCTTTTTTCCTTAATTAATTGCAGAACTTATACGAGCGCGAGCCGCTCTAGTAATCGCCGTTTCATCAATTAACTGTCATTTTTCAGACGAAGAGTGTTCGAGCCTTTATAATTCATTCATCTCGTCTCTTTAGTTAGCAAAGTCATGGAGAGTATTTTAAAGGGCAGATTTACAGAAGAGAGCAATCAGTTTCTAGCAGCGAAATTTTGAAACTTCGTTTTACTGAGTCTGATAGACTTAGCAAGTAAAATACTCACTACTTAGGGTCCACTTTGGGTCTGTTGATGTTTTGCTGTATATGCATTGTTGTATTCTAATTGAAAAATGAGATTAGAAGTGGTATATGGAGAATAGTCTTCTGCTGGGAGCCACCTTTGGGTTACGATAGAAAGTCTTAGCTCAATTCCGCCCATGTAGTTTCTTTTTGGAGTAATTTAAGTGACTAAGCACAAAAGGTCAATACCGGGTTTCTTACGGTACCTGTTCGTTAGAAGTTTGTGAGGTTAGGAAAAACATTTTACATATTTTAAGCTCGTCAAAGTCTATAGAACATCCGTCCAGTATAAGCTGTCAGAGTTTCTCACTGTAGTTTGAAATTTTGGAACTTTTTCATTAAAAAATATTTTCTAGGTCACATCGCTTCTGGTTAAACCGGAGGGCACCATTACCATTACTGAGGGAATTTTGGGATGGGTTTCATTAGATTTCCTACTTAATTTGAACTGTTTCTCAGATATGTTGATTTTTTTGACAATTTTTACATATTTACCCCTATTTTTAACAGATAAATGCTTCTGCAATAAAGCAGGAGAGTAATACTTTTAAAATGAGTATTGACACTTGATTGATTACCTATTACATTATTTTCAAGTCAAAAAAGTTCATTAGTATTGTTTTTGGTAGTAGGATGCAATATTCAATATTCAATAATTAAAATTTTTTTTAAATGCTCTTTGGAACATTAAATAAATCCTTGCGAAACAGACCTCCGGATTTCGTCTGAGCATGGATTAGTAAATGCATGTTTAACACGTTTTAACAACTCGTCCCTAATGCGCACAGGCGTAGAATACACTAGCTCTTTATAAGCTTTTTTTATAAGCCAGATTTCATCTATGAATTTTGGGCGATTTCGGATTGTTTTTCTACTTCTTTTTACAGAATTGAATTCTGCATCCTATTATCGAAAAATATACAGGATGTCTCATTTTAAAAAAGGACCTTTTATTACTTTGAAAGTAATCTAATCGTTTATCTAATCTGTAAAAATTTCGAAAAAAATAAGGACTTCCGGTGTGGTATGATCTTAATATTTTCAAATGAAATGAAATCCTAAATCCCAAAATTTCAAACCAGCTTATACTCGTTGCGCTGCGCTCGTGTTAAATAAACTCCTGAGTTAAAAAGTTTACCGAACGTGTTGCATACTATACTTTTAGTTTAGTTTTTGGGTACAATACGAATACATTGACTGACATGACCGTCAGAATTCACAAACGTCACAATTCAAGGCGTGGGAAATATCTCCGAAAATCCTGGAAATCTCCGAAGTGGCCCAGATCCGTGGGAAATGAAACTGAAGTGGTAAAGTGACGCTTCCCGCACGCTAGATCGGTGTCTGATTAGGCATTTTATAGACGGGAGTAGAAAAATATTTTTTTATTTTTATTATTTTTGGTTAAATAGTTTCTCAATTAGTTCAAATTATTTATCTGTAATTTGAGCAAATTGGATTTTTTCAGTAAGATTATCTGGTGTCGTAAGTAACCGTAGACCACTGCTTTTCAAAGCCGGAGCTGTTTTCCAGCGGATAGTTTAATCTGTTGCTCGTCATGTTAAGGTCCCGGGTTCAATTCCTATACATTGGATGATAATTTTTAATAATACTTGACCATTATATTAGAATTACTCCTATACAGTACCCAGCCGGGAATCCTCCCGAGACATTTACGACCTATTAACACACATGGATGCAGGGCGAGATTAAAAAAATAGTTCTGCGCAGAACCCGAATTACGATTCTCAGGCGCCCAGAATCGGCGAAGATTCTCCCTGGCAACCGGCGCACAAAAAAAACGGAAATCGTCAGAAACTCGCGCAGAATTCGATTAATTGGGTACTACGGGCGGTTCGGCGTGGGGTCCGCAATTCGGCGACGCTGTCCGCCGCGCCGTCGTTCTAAGAAAACGGGCGAAAACACGAACCACACTACTTAGTTAATACCCGGGGCTCGCTCATTAGTATTCCGGGGAATTAATCCAAAAACGGTACGGCAAAAGGTACCGCCGCGGTCCGCATTCCGTCGTCCCGGCTCATTTCGACCGCTAAACGACGCCGCAAATATTTCAAAATCGTCCCCGACCGGACCCCCGCGCGCGGGCCGGGAGGGGGGAGACAAAAACCGAATCCGAGACCGGAGGAGACCCATAAACATCCGATATGGAATGTGTGAGTCGTCGAGTCTACGGGTACACAACGGGGAAAGAAAAGTTCTAGTTTCTTTGCTTGTCGTATCGCGGTCCCGCCCATTTTTTACCGCGATTCTTTCGATCTGGACGTACGTCTAAATCGTGAGTTCGCGAGCGCCGTGACTTTTTAACTACTTAAAATTTAGAGTGCAAATACGGTTCGAGTGATTTAGCTTAGTACACACTTCCAAAAAAACTATGATTTCTCTTCTTCTTCTTCTTCTTTATCTTTTCTTTCAACGCTATGAGAATGTTGAAAAAGTGAGAATTTCTTCTGAGCTAACTCACTAAAAAACTCTGAAAAATGCCTAGACAAGAAATTTACTCAATTTTGTACGCGCGTTTTGACTTGAGTCTGATTATCAAAAATAATTATCAAGTATCGGCAAAAAATAATCTAAAACTAACGCTTAGTTTTGCTTCATTCCAGGTTCAGATTACAGTGTTGGACAAAAACGACAGCCCGCCCTCGTTTAAGAACGCGCCTCTTCAGTACATGGTATCGGAAGATCTCGGGCCAGGCCAATCTGTAGCCACCATTAGGGCGGAAGACCCGGACACCATTGGCAAACTGGAATATTCCATCCTTGGAGGAGACGATGGCAAATTCGCTTTAGATAAAGAGAGTGGTGTTCTTCGATTGATCGACTCGCTGGACCGGGAGGCCAAAGACGTTTACAAGCTGGGGGTTAGATGTAGTGACGGCAATCAGCACACGGACACCATCGTGATTGTAGATGTAAGTAAGATTTTGATTACGCGGAACCGCAACTGACAACGATGAACCAGTGACAGCCATGTTACTAAGAGACAGATTCTCAAGTTTTAGTTTCCCATAACAGATCGCCGAAGTTCTTTTGTATTTTGACCACAATGACAACGTGGTTAACCCTGTATACCTGCTTATTAACGACTGAGCGGTTCGTAAAATAGACCTTGCGGCTCCTCTTGGTGTATCTGAGGAAGAGTATTTGTCATGTCGAACGTTGAATATATATTTAACACAATTTTCAAACCGGTTTGAGTTAACAGAATTTCGTCGTCGCTGCTAGCGACGTCTCTTTTTTTCTAAATTTCGTTTAAAAGCCGTCGTGTCTACCGGCATCCGTGCTCACCCGATTTGTGTTCGACAAACCTTTTAGAATACCACCTTTATCTCGTATTAGCATAAATTTGATTAGGCCATTCGTCAAACTTAAAAAGCACGTCTCCGTTTTTAAAACCAAAGCTTAATTATTATTTACGAATAAAAAAAAACGGTATTCGATTTGCCACCAAATGGTTATCCGTTTTTATTAACGTCGATCGCGACGTCGTCGGAGATAAAAGACAACTTTTTTCAGAATAATTGTGACGTTAAAAAAAGGACAGACGTATTCGGTCCCGTTTCAAAGTCGAAAAACATTTGCGCTCTCGTCTAGATAAAAATCATTCCTGTCTAAAACCAAAACGCCCGTAACTAAAACTTTAAATACGAAGAGAACGTCACGACGGTCCAGAACCGTATTTAGGTACTACCCGGCCGATCAAGATTTTTTCGTACATTCGGAAAATATTTTTAAACGTTGGACCAAACAAAAACTCCTGCTCTTTGAGACATGGTTTAAGTTATATGTTTTCATGACGCCAAATATGGACGTCAGCGGATTTCGGATGGTTATTCATTAACAATTGATTGAGTCGCTAGCTTTAAAATCCTTGAAAAAGATTATACTCATGGCGACGAGATTAAATCGGGCGGTACGGTACTGCATCGGCTGCGATCTTCGCTTGAGCGTACACAAGAGATGGTACCGGAATGTGGCATGGGGATTTCTCTCTACTCTCAGTAGTTAGACAGGTGTTTCGTAAACGCCGGGAAATTTGTGGTCCCGATCAAACAACTGAAAAGCAGTTTCTTATCGATCCCGCGTCGCTGTCATACACGCGTTGTCAATTATATTATGATAAACTCTGCGGACGGTACCGTACGTCTTTTATTTTACGGTCGTACCACGACGTTTGGTACTTTAATTAATAGACGGAACGGCCGTCGTTTGATCGGACACCCGGGGTTTAACGCCGTATTTGCCCGCGAAGTTAAGGTCGCGGTGTATACAGGGCGGAACGTGCCAAGTTAAAAGATTTCCAAGACTCAAAAGTCGAGTTTTTAAATTGATGTTAAATATTCCCATATAAGTCACCGTTCTGGTTACTTAGGAAGACTTACCAAATCTCAATATGATATTGGTAATGAATGACGCTGTTTAAGCAGACGTCGTACTTTGATGAATGGAGTTTATTGTGTCAGAGTCCGGAGGATCATCAAAAATAATATACATATTCCGCCAGCAAACTGTTCTCATGGAAGGCAAAATTTAATGTTTCCAATAAAAATATTAAAGAATTTTAGACACTAGGTTCCTATATATAAAATTGAATTTCAATATTTGACGTGCCTTTGATAACCTGCCCAACTTGACTGGGCGCTATTTGTTAGATAGGGAACGATTGGTCATATCGCGGCGCAAATGATCGGCACCGCTCGTAGACGTTTCTTTGGATTTACGACGCATTGTCTCGTACCGTGGCCGTACCAATAATTAATCTTAAGAGATTTTTATGATCGCGGTGAGGATAAATCGCGTATACGGTCGTCACGCGGTTCGCTACGCACGTGAGGAATTCCAAAATCGACCGACATATGTCGCGAAATGGCCGCCACATTCTTAACCTAACCGACGCAACATTAATAATAGAAGTATTGACGAGCAATCGGTCAGTACCATCGACGGCTACGGTTCGTTGCACCGCCCCGGCAGTGCTCGGGCGTGGGCAACGTGAAATATGGTTGTTAAACTGCCAGCAATAGACGCCCTCGAATATCACCAAAACAAACTTTAGGGTGCTGCGTTATTGCTCAGGTCTTGCTGCGTGTATTGATTGGGGGATAAGCTAACAGGTCTCTGAATCCTCTCGCAAAAGGCAATGTCAAGAGCAAGACCTGGATGGAACTGAAATAAGCATACATATTCGTTTGAAGTAAACAGTGCTCCGGTACTCAATTATCGTAGCAACAATTCAGTTAATATATAACGCAGTACTAACGGTTGTACTAGACTTTTGCTTAATGAGAATTGTTTATTTTCTCAATGAAACGGAGGAACGACTTGGCTCAAACAAATGACGGAGACAATATTGAGCAGCCACATTTTAAACTTCATGAGACTAGTCACAGGCTTTGGAGAAGTCGGTATAAATAGTATCCACCACACTAAATGTCAAAAGTTTAAATCTTCCGACTTACCTAAAACCCAAATTTTGCTTAAATAATTCAAGGGTCAGAAAATGGCAGACTAAGCTTTCAAAAATTTCAGGAATTGTTCTGACCACTGTGACTTATTATCAGATTTAAAGATAGGCTTTTGAAAACAAACTTTAAAGATAAGGGCTGCAAGTGTCTTGAAAGATTAAATCAAGAGGTTTTGGGGAATCATGAAAGTATCAGGTCCTTGTCAATATCAAAGCTAGAGGTGATCAATATCTCAGATATCTAATGCTGATGGTTAGAGATGTGGACTAAATGTACACGTTTCGTAGGTGGTAGGAAGGTGAATCTTGTTATGAAAAACTAGACTTTTATAAGAGTTTTATATTAAAATTTCCGCTTCTTTGGAAACACCTTGATCATTTTAATTTTTGTAGAGTAAGTTAAGCGCCCCTCAGTAATTCACAATCGTAAAATCCTACCCAATGATGGGTATTAAGCAGCCAGGCAGCACCTCTTTTATTTTTTGAGTCAGTAGGGGTTGCAACTAATTATAACCAACTATGATACAAAAATGTATACCCAAGTCACCATCAGATAGATTAGAGTTGTGGGGAATAAGACTCACGGCTAGCGTCCAGTCCGGTACCAAGGCCAAACGATGGAAGACCACAATAATAAGATCAATTTGTATGTGATTAATGTACGGGCGACCTTTTGTGCGGCGTGAAAAACCATCCGACAAGCGCTGTGCGTTTTCTATACCCGGCATGATTGCGTTTTATTAACGATGCGCTGTCATTGAGACGCGATAACCTAGGCGTTCTGATGGTGACTTTTTGTTTTTGCAGGTAAACGACACGAACGACAACCCGCCGGTATTCCTCGAGACTGCTTATTCCTTCGACATCCCCGAGAACGCCATTAGAGGGTCGAAGGTTGGTCAGGTGAAGGCCAAGGATTCGGATTTGGGCGTCAACGCTCAGCTGACGTACACCGTGATCAGCGATTGGGCGAATGATGTGTTTTCGCTTAATCCCCAGACTGGCGTATTTACGCTGACTTCAAAACTGGATTACGAAGAGGTGAGTTAATCTTTCTAAGACCGCCACTACTCTAAAGAAAATAATATCTTCGCCGAATATTTATAAATCCTTGGGAAGAAATTAGTAAGGTCACTTAGCCGCAAAATTATTTTCAAAAAGTTATATTCATACTCAGCGTCAGACCCCTAAATATTGTTTTCATGCAAAAATGTGCTTTTATAACTTTATAAACGAAGTAGACAATTTGTAAAAAAAAATACAAACATATTAATAAGTTCATTCGGTGTAGCTGAGATGATTTTAGATACACGCGTACTCTCTTATATCCCTAATTATTCCCTAAGTGTTACTTTTACTTCTCTTAATTCTTTTTGCTTCTTACACCTTACCACTTAGTAAAAATCAATTGCCAGAGTTTCTCTTCTATAGCATTTGAAGCACTTCTGTTTCTGTACATAGCTACGAAAATGAGCTTACAGTTTTTATCAGAGCTCCTCGTATGTTTAGAATGGTGTAAAGTTCAATATTAATAATCTTAGCCAGGTTTAAAAGTTTGTGCGTCTATGTGATAATTTTGTATACTTAAACTAGCAAGTAAACATTTTTAAAGCTGCACTACTAACAAACAAAGCTACGAATTCTACTGTAATACTTTTATCTTCTAACTCTAGATTCGCTCGCTCTAGCCAATAAATAGTCGGTGGATTTCTAACTATTAACCAATATTTATTAATTTACAAGGAACGCAAGTTAACCTTTTAAGGAAATGGAAACTTTTAGTTGAACTTGCATAATACAGCTGCTATCAGAAAGCAAAGTGATGGAAAATGGAAAGCTTCGAAACTTCTTTTAAACCCGGAACACCAATGTTTTTAAAACAGCTGTTTCAAATTAAAGACAATGATTTAGAAGTAAAAATAAACTTGTCTATACTTTAAATTAAATGTTGACACTGAGGCCTTTTCCTAATTAATCTCGTTGAAACATTTTAATTTTGTAGTAAGGAGTTTAGTTTTCAAATTTTTGATTGAAACGCATAATACCAAATGAACCTCTTCTTAAAAAGTTTTGTGACTTTTATTCAGTTTTCCTCTGTCGTATCGAAACTTTTTCATTCACCCTTTCTAATCTCCAATGCGGTGCCATTGTAGGGTAGAAAACAGGCGGGAAAAAAAGTACTTTAACGGACAACTCGATCTATTAATAAACTCCCATTAGGTACGCGTGTGGAAGCACATGACCAAATCCGGTAAAAGTTAGCGGGCTGTTTTTCCTTTTCTTCGTTGGACCGGCCTGTGCGGTTGATCACTTAACCCGCAATTAGTATTCCGGTCTGCTCGTTAACCGACTTTGACTATTAGCATTCGTCTCGTTCAGATTTCGCGCTCATTCATTCGATATACCGACCAAACGGACGGCATCTTCTATACAGATGGGTGCTTTCAGTTGGTAAAAGCAAAGGAACCAAGCCGCGACCTAGCTTGTTTGTTAATTTGGTTGGTTAGTTACGATTTTGGGTTGGGTTGACAGTCTCAGGGATCATAGTGAAATTGGCTCCCTGCACAAACTGCTGTCAAATGTGTATGCAATAATACTGCGCATCACCTACTGCTTCCCAGGTTTATAAAATGCTGTACACTTCACCTCCTGCATCAGCTGCGTCTCAATGTGCGACTTAGCTGAAGCTCAGTCAGTTAGCTAATGGAAAGGATTATTTCTCATATCTTATGATTGATGGTCGATCGTGGGTTGGATGTTTCTCTTTCGAACTAAAATATTTTGCATTAAACAACGTTGCCGCATCAAACATAACATATGGCAACATCGTTATCTTAAATGGCATATCCCATATTTTATTAAATATTTGGATACACTGATGTCTTATGATTATTTTTGCTAGATACTTTACGGTTTTCGAAATGTTTTTTTTTCTTCAAAATATATTATCCCACAAAAACTTCAACAGTAACTACTATTGGAGAACACATAAGGCTGAAATTTTGATTGCAGTTGGCAAAAGATTGCGAAATTTTGAAAAAAATATATGTCATCGTCTGTGTCTGGGACAGCATTAACGAAAACAAGCCACATTCCTGTTACTTTTAGCGCGGTCTTTCATCTAGAGTATGTAAATGTGAGAAATAACCCCTTCCGTAAGCAAGCTTTCTGGTAAAAAATCTGTTGTGAATGTAAAAGATTTGTTAGGTTTTAATTTCGTTTTATATCAGTTGATATTATTTTAAATTCATAAATTCATATTAATTGTGCACCTGCACGATCTGATAGTAATCTAAATACGAATTGGCTATGCTATGTGTACTAAAACCATTTTCTGAACTTGAATCTTGTGATCAAAGTGAGGTTTGCCACATTCAACGAAAACATCATAGCTAGATTGAAGTATCTGGAGGTCTTGGTGGCCGGTGTAAACGTAATCATTGCAAGAAAGGTACATTTGATCATTTAGGTTGTTTTTCGTTAATGATAATGGACGTCCCACGCTCGTTAAGTTTTCCAAAGTTACCTCCAGCTATATGGATACGGAGATCAGTAAACATTGCAAAAAAAGCACCAGCGATTGATTGGAATAGTGCTGCCGCGTCACTAGGTTTGGATTATCGTTACTCGTTAGTGATAATGAACGTTCCATATGCAGCAAATTTTCGTCGCAATTCGACGGAAAGCGCAAAGAATATTAATAAGAAAATTGAATCGGAATGAGGTAAAACAAGGGACCGTGAACTTGGTAGGAAGCTTGACGCGCTTTTTATGCTCTTTCTCATGAACTTGCGTCGATCGCTAGCAGACGGTTACGTAAACCGCTCGCGTACACTGAGACAAATTTTCATACAAAGCGAGGTCGTCGATCAAAATACGTCTCGACAGTTATAGAATAAAATTAACTCTTCGTCAACAAAAATCAAACAAATTTGGAGAACAGAATGAAGGAAAATTGCAAAAATGTCAAAAGAAAAGACGAAAAAAGTAGTGATTGTAATTGCAGTGGAGATGTCAGAAGCCGCCTCACAAAAATCACAATTTTTCAAAAATCCCATTTTTCCCACAAATTTTCCTATGTTTAGTCCCCAATCTTTTTAGAAATTGTTTGATTTTCTCTTAAGTTGTGACATCACCTCGGACATCCTTTTATTCTAACTGAATGACTCAATACTCAATAGGCATTTTGATCGTTTTTCTATTATCTAGGATGTAACTTGTTTTTCCATTTTTTTGTTTGGACTATTTTTTAAAGGAGTACTTTTTTTTTCGACTTTTTAAAAATAAACTCCTCATTTTTTATCAGGAAAAAAACGTTTTTTGTGTTCCGTAAACAATATGTTTATTAATTTTTTGTTTTCTAGGGTAAAGAAGTGGTTTGAAAATTTTTCTTATTTTTTTCTCTTTTTTTTCTGGACTGATTTTTTTTCTTTAAAGTATACTAATCTATTTCAGGAAAAAATGATTTTAAAATATTGGTTGCAGAAATTTTCTTTAATTCCTTTTCCTATTTTTTTTTTTGGCTAATGCCAAGTATTTCAGTTTTTTATTATTTTCTTTAAAACAAGCTTATTCATTTTTTAACAAGATGAACGCCTTTTTTCCTTTACTTTAGTTTTTATTTTCTCGATTAAGGCAGTGGTAATTTGTTAATTAGTGAATTTTCTAAAGGCAGTGGTGTGCATCGACGCGTACAAATTACATCAAAAATTTCAAAACGCGAATAATTATAGCCTCGAAATTGTCCGCCATATCGGTATTATTTCTCTGCGCGTATATGCGCGACGAGCGTATGTGCATTCACGGACCACATTTTTATGCAAATCGTCTCCCCCCCGGGTTCCGGACGTTCGACATTGGAAATTACTCCCGGAGTCGTTTATTAATTACCGCCGCGAATTAAACCGAATTTCGGTTTTAAAATATTTCTGTAAGGTTCATTAGCGACGCCGCACATAATGGACCGAGAGTGATTTTGACTGATAACGGCCCGCGGGCTCGAAACGCATTGCAAGGTTTTTTTTTTTTTTTTGGTCGTTCATTGCCCGCGACAGTTTGATAAAAATCGGAAAAAAACGCGTAAATTTAATACAAATTAATGAAAGAATAAAACGTGCCCTTGTAGGCAGAAATTTTCTGTAATCTGTGTTGAGAGGAATGACATGTATAGAGTTGTCAAAATTTCTTTTTTAAATCGAGTTCGTAATCACTTTTAAAACATTTTTTTTTTTAGTAATAAGTAAAGTAACTTCTTCAGCCTCTAGTAAATTAAAAGTATTCAGTTCAGGAGAGGAGAGCAACTAAAAATCAAGTTCTATTGTTTCTCTATTTTTCATGATACCTCGCTTCATTTTTGTAGAATAAAAAACACTTAAGGGCTTGTATTTGCTTGGGCACCATCAAGCAATTCTTTATGTGTCCCGTCTTGAATAATGTACAATATTTATTCAATTTAGTACAATATAACTAAGATCAGACACAACTAGAGTTTTTTGGTTTAATCCTAAAACAATACTAAAAATAAAACAAATTGGTTGGATTTTTGTATATTTTCTACATTCCTCCATGTTGTGGTTAGCAGTGTCAGAGCGTACACACCTACACGTCGAAAGTACAATTTTGGATTCTTAGAGAGTGGGAGTTATCGCTTCCAATCTGACACTAAGTGACGTCACGTTCAAGATTTTGACATATCCCCAGCCCCAGAATTTTGAAGTTATTCCTGAAATTATACTTGAAATTCGACCGACCATAGAGATCTGCCATATTTACGTGGCTATCATTGTTAAGGCTAGGGCTTACACAAAGCGTCTGCAAAAAGTAAACTAAGATTTGAAAAGTATGACTAAAGAACATCTTAGTAGGAGTGTGGTTCGACCACACGGAATGTTATTAACTTGGTATGTCTTAGCTAAAAAAAAATAATTTTGACGCCGCTTGTGACTGTGATTTCAAAACTGACAAATAAAATAGTGGTGAAACCTCTCAATACGGACATCTCTATTAGGCGGACACTCCTTTTTAAACGTACATATTTTTTG